TAATTCAGAGGTCAGAAAAGGACATAGGTCGTTAGCTGTCAAATTTGAACATCAGTATTAATAATAATGGTGGACACGACAGCCACCCGATCCCTTTTTCCGATTCCCGTGGGAATTACAAAATACCTTTAGAAGGGTAGGCTATTTATTACTCCGAATTTGTGGCGGGATAGATAAGCCAGTGATATTTTTGTTGCAGAAAATGATATATTAATCCATCCCAAATTCCCAATATGTTAAAGTTTGTCGTTGAATTAAAGTGTTATGCGAAGTTATTTACTGACCGTTGTTGTTCGATACTGACAATTGAAAAGTTACTTAATAATTTTACCTCCAGTAAAGAATCGATTATTTCGCTTTCGAATTACTATGCTAGTTTCAAATACTTATAAATGTGTTTTCACACAGTTATAGTGAAAAATGTCATCATCATCGTCATCATCATCATCTCAGCCATAGGATGTCCAACGTTCACTGCTGAACATAAGCCTACCCCAATGCTTTCCATGTTGCCCGGTTGGTAGCGGCCTGCGTCCAGCGCTTCCCTGCTACCAAAACTAAATGATAATTTTGAAAGAAATTGATTTTTCGTCTGAGTTGAAAAGAGGTATTATTATTCAGAGTTTAAAACAGATCGGCATAGAGTCGCTATTATGATATTAATTATGACGGCACAGTACCTGAGATTATGGAAGTTTCGTGTACCAGTTCAGGAATTTAAATCAGATTTTTCCCAATTGGCCGCTGAAACGGTGGAGTGTATTAAATTAACGATTTCGGCTGTCATAATCGATTTTAAATAGATATCTGGAGCTCTTTGTTTTTAAAAGGTAATGAAGTTTATTGAAAGACTCTTCTACTAATAAAACCATTGAATTAAGGATAGTTTCGTCATTTGCTCATACCTACTGAAGATACATTCATCAGAATTTGTCAAGCAGTTTATTTAATAGATAACTGCTGACCACGGATGAGCCTATGTGTAACCCTGTTTAAAATAAAAATATAGTTACTTTTACATCTGTTTTTTTGTATGAGAGGTATTCACAATGTCTCTTTGGAATTTTACCGTCAAATAATATTGTACCAAAATTATTTGGTTTCAATTATATTACAACCGTTCCTATCAATACGGCTTACAAAAATACAACTCGTTACTCAACATTTCAATATCGAAATATCGCAAACATTAATTTTATTCAGCCTTATAACGTACTGAAGAAAGGGAATCGAGACCAAAGCAAACATAATGTAGCCCGTGCGTAAAGGAGAGAGCACATAAAGCTGAATATTTGGGTTTTATATGGTTGTGATAAGGTCGAATTTGCAATGAAAATGTATAGTCTGATGTGATGGTGGGCGAAAAATTTTGGGAAGGGAATATTGAAAGGAAGCCTGTCGGAAAATAGGTATTACCTCCGATCCCTCTTATCTGAGGTCCTTACAGGAAAATGTAGTGGCAACCAACGAGAGTGATTTATCTAGGTGCGTCATTAGATACGGAAAAATCGACACATGTTTTATCGAAGGATAAAACGTCGGTATAATGAAGAGTACAGGAAATAATGGATGAAGTAAATTAAGTTACTACAAAAATAAATAAAAAACTTAGTTTGGTAAGATGGAGCAAAATAATGTTGAATTCAATTCAAATTCTTTTTTCTTTCTATTTTTCTGAGGCCCTTTTCAGGGCACTCATCTGAAAATATTCTGAAAGATTCTTTTACACGTAGGTTCGTGAAAGGCCTAGGTAACGCATTAGAAACGACTCTTCTGATCTTTAAATTAAAAGTCAAAAGTGAAAAGTTTTTATAAAAAATAATTTAAAAAATGACAAGAGTATGTAACACCAGTGTAATGAGTGCCTACAAGTATTTCAGCAGTGGGTTTTAGATGCCTGAAAGCAGGTTTTATAAACAAATGTATTTCATTTACAATTACAAAACGCTATTTGCTACGTACAACTTGCTAATTGCTTGTATTGTATCGATGCACAATTCCAATAATGTATTGCTAACTCTATAACTCCCTGGTAGTAACTATTAAGTAGCCTGAAGCTCTGTTTCCCATTTCCAAGTATAATAATAGTAAGTGATATTACTAGAAATAGAAAGAAAACATTATTACTTATGTAAACGACATATGAAACCGCAATAACAAATTAATATGTGACTACGAAAAATTCTTGCAAAAAATGAAGGCCATTACGTATTCTGTGCTTACATAGCCACAATCACATTCCGATAATATGAATGCTTCTATTTCTTTATACAGGCTGTTCCAGATTGTTCTTAATTTGGAACATACATAGATGGTTTAATATTGCATATTATTTTGATCTCAATAAATGAGTTAACAACCTCGATCAATGTACGATTAAGACACCATCCAGTCAACTGGGAGCAGCACGAAATGATCTTTTGGTACATCTGAGAATAGAACTCAGAACCATCCAGTGCCTAATCTACACTAATATTATAAAGAGGAAAGATTAGATTATTCCCAAAAATACTGAACCGATTTGGAAAATTATTTTTACCCAGCTACATTATTTCTGATGAATATAGGCGAAACGAAGTTTGCCAAGTCAGCTAGTCTCTAAATATATTCGTTAAATCTTTAAAATCCCAGATATTTTACGTTATTCAATGTATTAAAAATGTTAGTCTTACTCGTACATAAAAATGTGCACTTGTCAGATTTTTATCACAAATTCTTGTTGATTTACAAATCTGTAACAATTGACGCATCCTGTACATTTGATCGGGGGCGTATCTCTTTATTTTTCCTTGTCCATGATATCCTCCGCTGTTTGTTATGAAAACACGATTCATATTTTGTGTGCAAATACCAATGGAATATTCACCCGCCGTCTACTAGAGTAACGAGCCGATGCTAATAAGCAGAGCAATCATGCTAATACAATATGCTTGTTTTGCTTGTGCCGCAAACGGGAACTGATCGCGAGAGAATGTTCGCTTTGTCGAGGTAGTGAGTTGCTACCTTTTAAATATACGAGGCGAGTAATGGGTTGCTACCTTTTGGATCTAAATCATACGAGGTGGTTTAAAAATAACGTAATTTCAACTCGAATTACTTCTGCGTTACACACATTTATTTTTTGCAAAAAAAATCCTAATGACACCCTGTTTTGTAAAAACTATTTTATGCAATTGATATTTAGGATACGTGTAGAAATTATTAGTGATTGGGTTATATAAATAAGTAATCAGGCCATTAGATACTTATTAGATAACAATTACAGATAGGTATTGAAGTATAAAATTGATTCAACAAAAATAATAAACTAACTTAGTTCAACCACATCCAAGTGTTGTGTAACTTAATAGGATAATGTTTGCATTTCATCGTATCAAAAACATTTATAACGCTATTTTGTAGCACAGTCAAAAGTAATAATTACCATGCTAAAATAGAAAGACATTTATGAATGAGTTTGTTCAGGCACACATGCTTTCAATGAGCACGGTACGATTGCGCGGGACCTATTTAAATCTGCCGCCAACTCCGTCCCGCCAAAACTTACACGGCGAGCGCGCGCGACTACCAGCAGCGCCGCGCTCCACGACGGCAAACGAACGAAAACTATGCAACGCGCTCTCTCGCGTTTGGGCCGGCTTCGCGAGTGCCACGCTTATTGTGTGCTCCAACGGAAATGTGAAATTTGGTGACTTTTCGGAAATGTTTTGTGTGTGAGGCCTCCACAGTACTTTGCTTGAAGTTAGTGACTCAAGTGAACCACCGAAGACACCGGGCGAAGCCCTAACTACCGGCCGGCGGCGTCCTACAGAGTACCTACCAGCAGCGCGGCGGCAGACAAGGTACCTGTTCGATTGTTTCTGTGTTTTGTTGATTGTGTCGTGCCTGGACGACACTGGGGAACTCATAATATTAGGATAAGCTATCGAAGTAGTTAACATAATTTGGTCCATCGATCCGGGATTTTTGAGGTTAAGTAGGTACCTATCGGCCTTTTCTATCGGTAATTTTTCGGTTTTACGTAGTAAGTATACATATTTCGGCGGTTATAAACTAATTTTATTTAGTACGGTACGGTTATCGGTTTATTTTCTTGCTTTCTACGTAATTTATAATTTTTACACGGTGTTGTGAAAAGACTTTGTATTTCAATATGGCGGCCAAAGTTCAAGAAATTAAATTTAAAATTGAATTTGAGTGGTTTACACACACGGTTGATATGATCAAAACAAATGAGTACTCATCGGGGGTTTTAACTGCGCGTATTCGTAAATTGGATGATCATTTTAAGGTTTTATCCAACTCCTATGAGAGTCTGTTGAATGTGTTAGAAGACGAGTCGCAAATTTCCAAATATGGCGAGCAATTTAAAACGGCTACAATTTTTTATAACGAGCTCGAGGCAATTTCACTAAGATTCCCACAAAAGGATGGTTCTCATGTAACCACGGAAAGTAGTTCAGTACATACTAGATTACCAGCAATTGATTTACAAAATTTTGACGGAGATACTTTCGAGTGGTACAGTTTTATTAGCATGTTTAACTCCATAGTATTATCACGAAAAGACCTCTCGAAAACCGAGAAATATCACTACCTATTTACACACGTACATAAAGAACCACGATCTTTAATCCAACATTTATCAATGACTGACGAATCTTTAGATACAGCTCTCGAGATATTAAAAGGTAGATTTGACAATAAAAGAATGTTGATCGATCGTTACCTCGGTCGTTTGATTAATTTACCTACTTTGACAAACCCAAAAAACTTGCGCGTAGGCATTTTGAACCCCGTGCTTGAATGTACTCGGTCACTTAAAAACTTGGGTTTATGTGTCGAAGACTATGTACTTTTATTTATTGTTTTGTCAAAGTTACCTTCCGATATAAAAACTCGATATGAACAATTACACGGCGGCTTACGCAATACATCTATATTAATAATTTCGTCAAGGGGTACGGTAGACTGGATCGAAACCTTATATGAATAACAAAGCATAAAAAAATAACGATTTTGAGTCGACAACATATATCCGCAAAATTCGGATAATGGAGAATTTCGTTAAATTCCGATGGCATTGACAAACAAACCGCTGTCGCCATCTTTAGTAGTTCACCATCCACTCACTATGCGATCAACGCCAAAAGCTGGGTTGTCATCGATCCATAAATAAATGGAAATCAGTGCGTTTCGCGATTTTTATGATAATATACTCTTTGTTATGTGTTTTTTCTTTAAACCTGGTATTGGCCGATTCAACCACAAAAAAAGAATATTAGCCATAACCTTATAAGTTGAAGTTCAAATGTCAATGTCATTTAGTTTCGCACAGTGATAAATTCCAGTGACATGCAATTTTTGTAATGGTAAAATATTTGTAAGAAACTGCAAACAAATGCAAATGTGCAGTCGATGTGTGGAATGCGACAACATTATACTCGGTAAGCGGCTTAAATTTTTTTTTATTTAACCCGAAAAATAATAATAAATGACCACATGCATAGCCTGTGTTGAGTTGTTATCAACATAAATATAGTAACAGACACGATTTTTGCCCCGTTTTTTCTGATAACCGAATAGACTCCTTCATGCGTAAGTTCCACTTGAGCTCGGCTGGTTCTTATTATAAATAATTGTGTAATATATTTTTGCAGATAATTTCAATTATTGCGAGTGTTGTGGCTTAGAAACAATTAGGCAGTTAAGAATAAACAAGGCTCGGGCACTATCAAACCTTTTTCCTAAAAAGCAAAAAGCTGCTTCTGCTGCTTCACAAGATTTATTTGATGACTTTCAGGTAAGTTAATAGTGTAGGTCACTGAGTAAAGTAAAATAATAATAATAATAAATAAACTTTATTTATCTTTCACAGAGGTATAAATAAATAGAGGTGGGAGGATATACCTACATACGTTCACAATACTTATTATTATTTGAATATTTGTCTAAAAATAGAATATATTTCTCTTATTAAACTCAGTTAGCTCAGATGGAGCGCGACAACGGAGAAGTCGAGGATGTAGGTTCAATTCCTGCATGTGGTGTATTTTTTCATCACATCTTATTAAATTTGTTTAATAAGAGTAACACAATATATTTCTCTTTTAAGGTTGATAACGAAGAGTTGGCGCTAATCGAGGATTCATTGATGATTGATGATGCTTCTTCGGACAACAAGAAAAAACAGCTACTGTCAGTCAGCAGTGATGATGCTTCTTCAGACAACAAGGAAAAACAGCTGCTGTCAGTCAGCAGTGATTTTATTTCTTTAGAAGAAGAAGAGAAAGAAAACATATCAAATGGCGGGCAGACCCCCGAAAAAAACGTAAATATTCAAGCAGGTTTATAACAGAATATCAGCCCCCCAGGACTAACCCTATTTATATTTAGCACTTTCAAATAACACCATTCAAGTATCAGTACATTTAGTTGGTTGAATGTGTTTAATGTCAAGCACTTCATTTTTTAGGTGAAAAAATTAAAAATCATTTTAAAAATTGTTGTCATAATGGGAAGGTATACATAGACCCAGACAGTCTTAAAGCCAATTCCAGAAATATTACAAGCATTTTTGAACCAAACAGAACAGATGAAAGTGTTCGACAATATCTTTACACTGAAATTTCGACACATTTCAGATTCATCCATGGACAGTGGCAACCACGAATATCTCAGTTAGCGGCTGATAAAGTAATTGCAAGAATGTATAATTATTCCTTTTCTGATCGGGAACGATATTATCTCCGGCTATTACTTCTTCACGTCAAAGGGCCGACTTGCTTCAGAGATGTTAGAACTTATTAATATGAAAATATTATTTACACATCATTTCGAGAAGCTGCTCAAGCAAAGGGGCTACTTTTTGACGATCAAGAATGGGAAAGATGTTTGGATGAAGCAATTGGTTTCAAACTTCCTCGGTAATTACGACAGCTGTTTGCGTTAATTTGCGTGTTTTGTGAAGTAACTGATCCTAATGCTTTTTGGGAAAAATTTGCATCACATTTTATCGAAAACTTTACAAGATCCCGCCCTGAAATATTATCCAAACAGTTGGCTTTACAAGAAATTGATGAAACATTAAAACTCCACGGAAAGAGACTAACAGATTTCGGACTTCCGGAGCCAGATATTGATGAAAATAGTATTTTCTTATCTGATCCCGTTTCTGACTATTAATAAGAGTTATTTACTTAACCTATATTAACGATTGACTTTGATTGTTTTGTTAATTTGTCTTAGTTTATTTTGAATGTTGATTTAAAATAAAAATAATTTGTGTAAAAACATTTGCAGTTTTTATTTTCCATATTTATTAAACACAACTAACGAAGCTATATGAATCTATATTTAATATTCTTTGAGAACCGATGACTACAGAAACATCTATCTACATGTTGCACCTATAATTGTGTAATATGAGTCAAATTGCACCCGAGCGAAGCCGGGTTTTCATCTAGTATTATCATATTTTCAGAGAATATTCTTCAAATTAGTACATAAATGGCTAAGGTAATGAACATAAAAAATAAACAATCGATTGGGAACCTCCTCGGTTTTTTTAATTTAATTAAAAAGGAGAATCGATTTTTGCACCGTACTTTGATTTGTAAACTAACAATTGGACAATAACTTAGTGAGTCATGTACTCGTAGAGCATTCAAACGAATACATTTCCTTTTACATTGAGACGTGTAAACAGGTGAGTAATCGAGATCGGAAAAAATAAATAATGTGACGACGGTGATTTTCCAATTAGGTGTTTACTGTGTTATTTTGTTGCTCAACAAATGTGATAAAATTTAGAGGCTACAACTATTTAAGAAGTAATATTTGCCATGCCATGCCATGCCTTTGCATGCAGCTTGCATGTGTAATGTATTTATGATTTCTTTTATTTGTCATCTACACAAACTAATATAACGTAATTTAACTATACTTGAATTTGAAGTTTTCACGACCACCGTAAATATGCGACAGTCCATGCACAATGAGTGTGCAACAATGTTACCTCTGTTTTACAAAATATATTATTGATGACGGTAATTTTTTGTACGTCAATTCATTTGTTGAAGTAACCTGCCGGGCTAGGATACGCCACGATTTTACGACAACTGTATGGACTTATCGTGCAAAATCGATAAAATGCCTCGAAAAAGTTTATCGCGGTGCGCATCAAGGCCTACTGATCGAGAATCGATCCTAGTATCCCTGCGTTTTTTTTTTATCCACAACGAGGAAGCTCTTGGCCTGTATCTCACCTGATGGTAAGTGACGATCAGGCAGTTATTGTCACCTTCGTTTCAAAATTATATCGTTTTTTGTACTGGTACCATGACCTAAATCAAACCAGTTATTGACGTCACAAATGCTCGATAAACGAATTTTGTATTCCCGTTTATATTTAAATTACTTTAAGACAAAGTTGCATTATGTATGGCTAGTGTTGACGTCTAACGAGGAAATTATATTCTGAATACAATTGGGTTAAATGCAGGCGCAACGGAGTCCCGGTTATAGTTGTCCAAATTCAGATTCTGTTTTGCATGTCACAAGGGATATGTTACACAGAAGCTAATATGAACGTAGTTCTTGGTTTAAATACAGTGCATCAATGTTCATACGAATACATCCGATCCAAATAGATGGAGCTGGATACTCTGGACGGTTCTGAAAGTTCTATTTATGACTAACCACAGCGTTTCTTCAGCAGGAGTCAGAGAGCGAGGGTCTGATCAGCAACGACGTGGCGCTCACGCAAGAAGACTTCCTGATATGGAGCGTGGAGAGTGCTGATACGCTCGTCACTCCCTTCCTGGAGCTTCTGTTCGAGGTGTGCCACATTGTGCTGGGACTCCGGCCGCAGTGCAAGCACCAGGAGAGGGACATCGGTGAGTTTCTGAGGAGGCTATGCAAGAGGACTCCGGAGTGAGTCAGGTCTTATTGGAGCCCTCCCTTAAAGCGTGGTTCAAGGTCTAAGGCTGGTTTTAAAATCGCGCTGACGCACGCTCATCGTCAACGCTGACAGCCGAAATGTAAAAAAGCATTGTCGACGAGCGATCAGCGTCACTCAGGAACGTTTCCTTCAATTACACACATCTTGGTCGTATGCTGTCAGCGTCGACAATCAGCGAGTGGTCAGCGCAGTTCTAAGACCCGCCTAAGTCCTTAGCCAGGCTGCATACTTAAATATGAGGCGACCGCGGTGCGTTGCGTCAAACAAATGAAACGTGTGCGGGCGCGTGTGTATTCAAAGATTTCATATGTTTGAATACAACGTGCCGCGCTCGCGTGTGCAGCCTGGCCAAAGTGGCCAAGCACTTACTGCTTGGTGTAAGTATTAACTTATGGATTACCATTGCTAAACAGAAACCTATAAAATGTATTGTTTAGTATCCGTATGAATTCAATCCCAACCTCTGACCTCAAGCATAAACATTGTCTTAAATGAAAAACGTGACTTGCCATGCACAGGTTAGCAGAATAACTAGCACTAGCACAGACTATCCAATTAAACGTTTTGTTGTACAATAAAAACTAAAAAACACCTTCGCAAAACTGCCATTACGGCGTTCTAAAATTAGCGCCCTGTTGATTTTAATGCGAGAATATATATAATTATCTATGTGTACCAGTGTCACAAGCTTGACATGGATGTGGTAGGGCTGCCTACTTATCTAGCGCATTATCTTGGCATTGTGCTTCGTTATCAGCGAATATAAAACGATGGGCGATATCTCAACTTTCTTTTTTGTGTGTTATCGCTTTTCACTTGTTTTTGCAGTTTTTTCTTGTTTGTATTATCTATTATGCGCTTTTACAACAGAATTGTCAGCTGGTGTCAAATTCTAATTTGTCATTTTATTATATAAATACAGGCAACCCTGAAGATATGTCTACAATAAGTGAAATCCTCATTATCAACGTGAAACTTTCCTACTGATATTTGATATAATTAGCTGAAACAACTTGAAATCAAGTAGATCTATTTAAGTCTGTATTTCAATACCAATATTACTATAATTATTGCAAATGGCGCCCAAAATATTAATGTTGTTGAAGAGAAAAACGTACTGTTTTTTAAGTAAAAAATAGACAGGCAAATGAGACCTACTATTTGAAAATACTTTGTTTCAAACGCAATAATATATATAAGTACTTAAAACTGACATAAATATGTACATATTATTTACATAACACATCACAAGGAGGAATGTTATTTTTCTCTCAGTTCGTAATCCAACGTAGCAAAGACAGTGCAACGTCCTTTAAGACATAGTTCAACAAATACGTTTNGTGACTCAAGTGAACCACCGAAGACACCGGGCGAAGCCCTAACTACCGGCCGGCGGCGTCCTACAGAGTACCTACCAGCAGCGCGGCGGCAGACAAGGTACCTGTTCGATTGTTTCTGTGTTTTGTTGATTGTGTCGTGCCTGGACGACACTGGGGAACTCATAATATTAGGATAAGCTATCGAAGTAGTTAACAGAGTTACATTATGTACTCACGGCTTGACTAAAAATCACCATGCGACCCCAAAGTCCTCGAAACAGGTCAAAATTTCGTTTCGCCACACCACCCGTGTGCATATAAAATCTCCAAAACCCAAAACTAATTAAAGTTACCCTTACACTTGTAATACAAACGGCAGTGTGCACACTGCATGCGATCAGTATTCATCCGGCGATCCCGTCAGTGTGGCCGCGCCTTAATTTATTCATCGTTTTCCAAAAGTTTTAAACACCGGTTCCGTGTGTAGTTCGGGGTTAGGTATAATCTAACCGCGAACAAACTTACCTTGTAATTTTGTAATTATGTACTTAATGAAACTTCGATGTGAACCGGCTAAGCACTCAAACACAAAGTTTTGCTAGGGTATTGAATACGTACTTTTATGGGAACAAATCACAGGAATAGTTTTTCTATACCATGCAAATTGTAATTAGAAAAATACAAACAGTAGAATTGAGAACCCCCTCCTTTTTTTGAAGTCGGTTAAAAAGAAAGACCGACATATTCGCAATATTCATGTCAGTGGTTTAAAAGAAGTCTTACTCAAAAAGTAACAAAGACTAACACCGAAAAAAATAAACGAATATATTTAGCTACATGTTGGGTGCCATTCTAGCTGTGTAGTGGCATAGTGGCGCCCAACATGGGACTAATTAATTATTTTGCTAACGGGATGACTACAACACCAGTTGCGTTTGCGGATTCTAATCCCGCCGGGAGCAAATGTCATGTCAATGTTAGCGCAGGCATTAAATCGACACCTGGAATCAAGGATACTTAGCATAATAAACGTATATTTGAATTATTTTATTTTGTATCATAATACTAACGGTTTAATTGTTATTACGGTGAAGCTAGATAAAAGGGGAGTAATTAATTAATAAATTGGGTCATATTTGGAACAATAAAAATGGAAACCATAATTCAAATAATAAAATCCACACAATGTTACCACAATATATTTATCTTCACAGGCAACAATATCTACGCCGGGAACTGTTTATAAATAAATATTTATCGCCGCAAAATTATTCAGTCGGAAATAATGAACCGAGCTCGACATTATTTTCGAAGCATGTCTGTATTTAATATCGCGTTTAGCTCTAGGCCGCCACAGACAAGTTTGTCGTATGTTTCTCGTTCGTTTTCAACAAACGTCAGGTAACAGACGGGAACTTAGAACGCGTTTCCATATGACGATATGACGGGACTAATTGAAATTCTAAAGTTGGGACATCACTGTTTTTAACTGCAAACTAAAATGATATCAACTGTGTGGCCTCAGGACTTTAAACTTTAAACTGCACATTTTTTTTTTCTCTTGGTTGCAATTAATTCAGTCCTGAATAAGAATAGTAGGAAAGCAATGAATATATGCAGAATAAGCTCTAGGTTACAGATAGACAGTAGAAGATCAGTCTGATTCTGATACTGTTTATTAGTGTTGTGACACAGTTTGTGAGTAAGGAAGCGATAGTAAAATTCGAAGTTGTTAAAAAACTATTGCTTTACTTAAAAATAAAGTTGATTTTGAAAAAGCAATCAGATTTTTTATTAAAATAAAATAGTTTTTCTTTCATCATCATCATTTCAGCTAGGACGTCCACTGCTGAACAAAGGCCTCCCCCAATAATTTCCATAATGACCGGTCGGTAACAATATGCTTCCAGCT